GTATTTTACATATAAACAAAGCAAGAAAGAATCTTATGATAACAGCATCTTTGTGATGCGCATTTGACATACGGTTTTGTGTGTGAAATACGCCTGATCGCATTGCTAATGCATAGCATGTTCACAGTTTTTACTACTAAGAATCAAGCTGTGGCTAAATGCTCAGAGTAAGCGAGGCCAAAAAAAAGAATGAAGCATAGCATAGCCTTGAGATAACAACGCCATGTTATCGGTTGTATTATGCACATAAATTAGCACATAAATTTGTTAATAATATTTAATTAAATACCTCGTAATCAAAAACTCATAAAAAATCCGATCATTATATACGGCGCATGTTTCCCGATGAACTGCTTAAGGGGAATTAATTGTTCGCAATAATTCATCATATCGTTCGTTGTAAATGGATGAAACACTATTATAGCGATTTGCTGCGTCATACGTTAGCGCAGATTCTCCCTTCGTTCATCTTTGGCGAATCACGACAATTATAGTTCATGCATAGACTAGATTTTGTATCAAGTCATTGTGTTTTGATTCCGAATATATAATTTACATCCAGCATGATCTTCATTCTGTGTACAACACACAAATCTTGTAACCGTAGCCCAAAAGCGGCATCGTTATCGCTTACCATATAATTTCATATAATTAATAACCTTGTATTATCACAATCCATGACTTGCACTACATACTAGCTACTACAGTTTCCCCGAACCGCTACTGCTGCTGTAGCAGTAGACTTGAACGATTATAAATCTATTTAGCCGGCAGAGACGCTGCACTGATGCACGCGAGATTTCTCAATCGCAATCCACGCCAGGCGGCGATAGAGATTTCCCAAGAAAAATTTATTTGCTGAAAACTCTTACACAAAATTGCCTCGGAAACTTTCAAGCGGAGTTAGGAAATTTTCATGCTTATTTATCTATTACACGTTACAATGTAATAGTCAATATAAATAGTCAGCTTGAAGCATAAGAATCAAATCAAGGTATGTGTCACAGATGTGACATTGTCATGAAATATTCTTATTATAATACTAGCTAGTGGTGTATGGCATCGTGCTTTAAGGCAAATTGCTGAAACTTCCCGTACCGTAACGAAATGTTCGAAGAATATTGAATGTTTTCAAATAGATTATTATAAATATTGTAACATTGTCTAATATTTATAAGAATTTTATAAACTGAATTGCAAAGTTGAAATTATTTGTTTAAAGTATATTAGAACTTTAGTCAGAATTAAAAATAAAATCTGAATTATTTTTGATATACAAGAAAAAAATTTTTTTTTGAAAAAAAAAATTGAAACAAAATTTTAAACAATTTTTTTTTCCAAAATCAATTATTTTGTTAAAACAAGTATAAAATTCTTTGAATCATTTAAATCGAACGCTTAGTTCTCTCAAAAACTGCCATTTTCTGCACATTTAGCACAGTATCTTCGAAATGGCTGGGCCTGCCTTTGCGAAAAACTAATAACCACTTCTCCCAATCATTACTAATTAAATGTTTATTAGTTCATTCAAATCGGATGCTCCGTTCTCTCAAAAACTCGATTTCTATTTTTGGCACTCTTCGCTCCGTATCTCCCTAGCTGCTGGACCTGCCTTTGCCAAAAACTAATAAGCACATCTCCCTATCAATAGGAATCGAATGTTTTTTGAACCATTTGAATCGGTTGATTTGTGCGCCCGAAAACGTGTACGAAAATATGAGGACACACAAAAAACTCACATTCATTTTTTCTGAGGAATGCCAAAATGTTCAGAAACCTTCGAAACGTCGAGAAATGCAAAAATTTTCAATTTTGATTTTTGGACGATCACAATAACTTACCCTACGGGAAGTTAATAATCAAATATCAATAAAAATTCATCAATGAGTAACAACAATTGTTTTAGAAATTTTTAAGTAATTAAAAATACTGCAAAATTCATCGTCGTATTTCATATACATATATACGAATATGTGCTTATATTTGAGAGACGACTTTGTCTAAGAACGAAAACTATGGGACTGATTCTGCCGCATAACAGACAAATGTTATGGCAAGGCTATGTTGTGAAAAACTTTCCATAGAAATTCGTTCTAAATATTAAAAAGTCAGGCGTATTTCAGATAGAAAACTAAACCTAGAAACAGCATAAATGTCAAAAAACGATGTTAGATAACAGGGTCTTTCTAGATCGGCTTTATCACATGCGAGTGACGTTACAGTTTATGTGTAAAATGCCTGAATGCACAGCAAATACATGACCATTTGACAGTATTCAGTATGATTCAGTACCATAATATATGGAACTTGAACCGTAACATAGCCTTGCCATAATATTTGTCTATTATGCGGCAGAATCGGTCCTTATGTTTATCTGCAAGAATAAAACAAAATAGTGGGATGCATGGCATCGTGTCTTAAGGCAATTTGCTAGAACTTCCCGTACCGTGATTAAAAATCTTGGTATAAAACCCAAAAAAAATTACACATATTGTGTACACATTTTGAAAATCTCTATAAAATATCTGATAATTTGATGTCCAATAAACATTTTTGACCGCCGAATGACAATTTTAACTTATTTTTATTGAGAGTTCATAACCGTTGGACCTGCCTTCCCAAAAAACTTAATCAGTTCTTCATCTTGTCAATACAAGTAAAATGTTTTTTGAATTATTAAGTTCGGACGCTTCGTTCTCTTAAAAACTGAGTTACCGTTTTTGGCACTTTTTGTCCCGTATCGTCAGAACGGCTAGACCAAACTTTGTCTAAAATCGTCGACAGAATACAATATAAACCAGAAAGTATAATATATTTATATGCATTAATTTAGTTAAACCAAATATATTTTTAATGTTTTCCTATTTTTAATAATAAATACCAGCAGTTTCATGTAGTCATTACATCACATTATATATATACAATGCTAACCTATTAAAACCTAAATAATATTATTCAAAAATATTAATAATCCCAGACAAGCCCATTGAATACTAATTACAATAAAACAGAGTAATATTATAATAAAACAGCCCAATCATACTAAATGGGGCATGTGTGTTACTAAATCAAAATTTCAGGCACCTGTATCACACAATATTAAAATATAATAAATTTATAAAGACGTTTCATTCTCTTGATTTTATTTTCAGGAGACTAGGGAAAGCGTTTAGCGCTCCTACTGCATCCAGATTAATGGCGCAAAATTTGAAATGAACTAGTGGGGCGCATGGCATCGTGCCTTAAGGCAAATTGCTGCAACTTCCCGTACCAAAATATATTTTTTAAAAAAGATTAACATTTAAAAAAAATACTTTGATAAAACTGGATTTTTGAGAAACTATAAATTTTTGAAAAAAAATTTTTTTTTTTTTAAAAAACTTTTTGAAAAAAAAATGTTTTCTTTATTTTGAAATATTTTGGAACTTCTGAACTTTTTTCAAAGCAATCGTACTGATTTAACTACATAGAGACGAAATATCGAAGCGCGTAAGCGCCGCGTCTCCGTCTAACGGATAAACATAGGTACGGAACCCATCCAAAATCTCTATAAAATATCTGATAATTTTATGTGCATATGTCTAATTATAATATTTGATTGCCAAATGGCATTTTTTTTTTACTTTTTTTACTAGATCTCCGAAACCGCTAGACCTGTCTTCATGAAAATTTAATCAGTTGTTTATTTTGTCAATACAAGTAAAATGTTTTCTGAATTATTAAAATCGGACGCTCCGTTCTCTTAAAAACTGAGTTACCATTTTTGGCACTTTTTGGCCCGTATTTCCGCCAAAAACTAATCAGCACTTTTCCTTATCAATACGAATCGAATGTTTTTTTAAATTATTCAAATCGGTTGATCGGTGTTCCCGAAATCGACGAAAATTTGTATCCGCACGCACACACGCACACACATACATCCATTTTTTCTACGGTATTCCAAAATGTTCAGAAACCTTTGAAACGTGAAGATATATACAACTTTTTATTTCCGATTTTTTTGCGATACTATAACTTACCCTACGGGAAGTTGAAAAAAAAATGAAATCGATGTAAAACAAAATTTTTTCATATGATTTTTTTGTTATAACATTGTTGTTTTTTTTAATGACCAAGATAACTTTTTTCAATATAAACAATTGTTAAAAAATATGATAAAATTTTATTCTATTTTTAATTATAACTCTTGATATACTACAATGAATCTGTATTTTTACTAATTCTATTTTAGGTTATATCCTGCCTATTAAATTATAGTAATATGATTATAATAAATTATAGTAATTAGATTATGGATTTCAGAGATAGTTGACTTGCCATTACTAGTTGTTTCATTATCAAACATAAGAGGCATTTATAGCTAAAACTTGATCGAAATCTTGGTTTGTCAATTAAAACGTGAAAATATTATGAATAGATTTTTAATTCTAAATTATAAAAAAAAATATATTGTACTTATAATTTCTAAAACGAGCATTAAAAAATTACATGATCAAATATCAATTAACAACAAGTTTATTTCGTAATTTAGCATCAGTAAGTTAGCAACAGTAAATTATATATTAAAGAATCTGTCAATCTGTATCAATACTTACTTAATACAGCATTGAAAGTACATTATTGAACCAATAGTTGCCAATTTTATCCACACAATAACAAATGATGAACCGACATTTTAATCTAAATAAAAAAAAATCAAAAAAACTTTAAAATTGATTTGATTTGGATTGTTGAATTTGTAATCCATAAATTAACGATTACATACTTATTTTAAAGTAGTGTTCTCTGATGAGAATATATGTACATCCCATCTTTTATATCTATGGTGCAAAAAATAGGACAATCTTGATATTGCCCATCGCATAAGCCTATGGAATATAACAATTGATGATCAATCAAGATAAGTAATTTTGAAGGTGAATTTTTATTAGAATAATAGTGAAAACTTTTGTGCAATGGCTGAAATATCGTCAATCACCTATCTCTTCAACCTTTGTGCGATGGACAAAGCGCCACCGCCAATATTTACTTTTACACATGACGGAACGGGACTAATGTATCCCACGTATAGATCACGGGTGAGCGTTACATTACAATATGTCAATGTAACAGTGGTCGGAAGAGGAATAACCAAAAAGGCGGCTAAACACGATGCAGCGAGATTGGCACTTGAGAAGCTATCAGATATGAAGGTGCTTCAGTCAGTTTTGGAAGCTAAAAAAAGAGAGCAGCAAACGTCCTCTAAAACCAATTATGCAGCTGTGAGACAATTACAACATTTTTGTCGAAAGGAGATCATACTGCAACCCAAGTTCAATTTAGTCGCCGAAATGGGCCCACTTTACGCAAAAGAATACGCCATTGAGTGTTCAGTGGGAGAGGAGTTCAAGGAGACTGCAACGGCGTCTACGAAGAGAGTAGCCAAACGTTTGGCCGCCCACAAGATGTTAGAGACACTAAGGGAAATAGAAAGATCTATAGAAAGATCGTAGTATGTACTTAATCTAAACTAAACTCCCATTGTTTTTCAATAAATTTAATTTTTTCATGTTATAATTTTAACAAGTTTTGATTCACTTTTAATAAATAAATATATATATATATATATATATATATATATATATATATAGATAGAGAGAGAGAGAGAGTTACTAAAAATTTTAATTTTTAATATTTTGTGTTACAAGTGCGTTTTTGTGTATCATTAAATAACTAAAAATCTGAAGTAAAAACTTAGTCGCTTTTTCTTTCATTTAATTAATGTTTGCATATAATCCGTAATCATGTTTGTATATCAATCTGTTGTTGGTGTGTTATGTGTAAACGAACAGCCAACTTAGCATATCCTCGAAACTGTGATGAAATTATATATATATATATATATATATATATATATATATATATATATATTATATGTAGTTAGTAATTATAAGTTTGAATGTAACGTCCATTAGTGGATAGATGGCTCTGTGAATTGTTTCTGTCAGCCAGCTAATGGCGACAATGAAGTTGGCTATAAAGTATAAATATAGTAAATATAAAATAGATTTTTGTTGTTGATTAATGTGTTGTAAATGAACAAAAATATATAATATACTATTAGTAAAAGATACCGCGTTTCAGTACAAATTTTAAAGTAACAAATAGAGAATAACCTAATCCAGCGCAATATACACACACATACACACACACACACATATATATATATATATATATATATATATGTATGTGTGTGTTGATAGTTTTGTTGACGTTGATACATATTTGAAGTATTTTACAGCCCAATTGTCGAATTAAAAAAGGTGTTAATATAGACAAATTTTTTTTATTAAACGTTTCGATATTTATATTATTACATAAATAACAATTTGATATTAAATACAGGAAAAGAGACAAATATATACAGGTAAACCCCGCGTAATACGGTACTTCTATAACACGGATTAGCTCTAGCACGGGTTAGGAATTGATACCATCCCCCTTATAACGCTGTACTTTTATAGCACGGCTTCGCTCTAATACGATTTCAGAATTGAGCAAAACTCTAATAAAATAAAAAATAGTAAAATCTATTAAAATCAAACTTTATTAACTTCCCGTAGGGTAAGTTATAGTAATCGCAAAAAATAAAAAATGAAAATTTTTATATATTTTTACGTTTTAAAAATGATCATTAGACATATGCACATCAAATTATCAGATATTTTATAGAGATTTTAACAATAAGTATAAATTTTGTTTACATTTCTATGGGTTCCGCACCAATGTTTATCTGTTAGACGGCGACAGTTCGTCTCTGTGCAGTTAAAGCAGTACTATTGCTTTGAAAAAAAGTTCAGAATTTCCAAAACATGCAAAATAAAGAAAACTTTTTTTTTTTTAAAAAAAGGAATTTTTTACTAAATTTATAGTTTCTCAAAAATCTAATTTTTTTGAAGTGCAATTTTTTCAAAAATGTTAATCGTTTTTAAAAAAATAATATTTTTTGGTACGAAAAGTTCCAGCAATTTGCCTTAAGGCACGATGCCATGCGCCCCACTAGTTTAACCTAAAATTAATAAAATCACAGTACAATAGCTCAATAAATGTGTGAAACTAATGCAAAAGATAAATATTTGGTGCTTATTATTCGAGTGTGTACGTTTTATAGATAAATACTAAGCTTACCCGAACAGTTAGTCAATTAGTATCAAACAAAGATCCTTTAAATAAAATGATTTAATAAAGTTATCTTTGCATGTGTTAATGTATAAAAATCTTTTTGCTAAAAGCAACTGATCGCAAATATAATTTTTTTGCAAAAAATAATGCACGGATCTGAAGGTAGTACAGAAAACTGCTCAGAGGATGAGGATATCTTGCAAAAAAAAGGATCGTGTTGGATAGACTTCCCGTAGGGTAAGTTATTGTAATGGGCCAAAAATCGAAATTCAAAATGTTTACATTTCTCGACGTTTTGAAGGTTTCTGAACATTTTGCCATATCTCACAAGGAGAACCCGCGCATTGCTCGTCTGGGATTTTGATGAAATTTGGCACAATGGTAGATTTTATGCCCAAACTGACTGTGGTGAAATATTAGAGGCCTATGAAAAGCGGTTTAATTATAAAAGTTAATTAAAGCTTGCATTTAAGCAGCGCACTGATCTATACATAGAGCATGGAGCGTTCCTTCTTATCAGCGGGAGATTGTCCGAGTGGTAACGTCGGCAAATTCTAATTTCTTCGTCTATGGTCGAAAGTGCGAATCCCACTCAAGGTTTTTATTTTTTTTACTATTCTCATTTCATATTTATAACTACATGAGTTAATAATATTAAAATTAATTCACATTTTAAATTGATTTTATATTTTTCATTAAATTCTATAACAAAGTCCCCTTTAACGTGTATATAAATTTAATGTGATACCATAAAAATTGATGTAAAACATTATAATTTCATATTAATAACAACTAGCTGTAAGTGGAATTCTGTCTTAAGGCAATTAAGGCATCGTGCCTTAAGGCAAATTGCTGGAACTTCCCGTACCAAAAATTATTAACGATTAACATTTTTGAAAAAATAAGATTTATGAGAAACTATAAATTGGACAAAAAATTACTTTTTTAAAAAAAAAAAAAAAAAAAAAAAAATTAAAAATATTTTTATTTTTTTGAATAAAAAATTTTTTTTCTTTATTTTGACATATTGTGGAAGATCTGAACTTTTTTTTCAAAGCAATCGTACTGCTTTAACTGCATAGGGACAAAATGTAAAGCGCGTAAGCGCCGCGTCGCTGCCTAACGCATAAGCATTGGTACGGAACCCATAGGAATGTTAACAAAACTTATACTTATTGTTAAAATCTCTATAAAATATCTGATAATTTGATGTGCATATGTCTAATAATCATTTTTGACCGCCAAATGGCTCATTTTTTTACTTTTTCCTCCATATCTCCGAAACCGCTAGAAGTACCTTTATGAAAATTTTATCGATTCTTCACCTTGTCAATACAAGTAAAATGCTCTTTGAATTATTTAAATCGGACGCTCCGTTCTCTTAAAAACTGAGTTACCGTTTTCGGCACTTTTTTCTCCGTATCTTCGGAACGGCTAGACCTACCTTTGCCAAAAACTAATCAGCAAGTTTCCTTATCAATACGAATCGAATGTTTTTTAAATTATTCAAATCGGTTGATTTGTGTTCCCGAAATCGTCGACGAAAATTGGTATCCGCACATACATACACACGCGTACATACGTACACACACATACACACACACACGTCCATTTTTTCTAAGGTATGCCAAAATGTTCAGAAACCTTTGGAACGTAAAGATATATAAAAATTTTCATTTTCGATTTTTTTGCGATTACTATCAATTGCCCTACGGGAAGTTAAAAACTCGATCATTATATTTTACTTTTTTTAACTTAGCCATATGTTACATACGTATTGCAAACAGGTTAAATTGAATTTGAATGAAATATCATACTTATCAGCTGAAGAAGCAAAGACACGAGCGCATTAGAGATAAGAGAATGACGAAAGCGGGAGTGGGCTCCTGATACATGAAACATTTTAAAAATTTCGCGAAGTTCGAGGGTCCGAATTGGAAATTAATTGTAGGAAATATAGCGAAATATAACGCCATATAATAATTATTTTAATACTCATATGCTTTCCTGGTTAAAACCGCCGGAAACTCAAAAATGAAGCTGATCAAGTACACTAAAAAATTTTTGATGAAAAAGTCTTATCATCTCGGATTTCGAAAAAACACATAGTGTTTATGCACAATATTGTTAGTAAAATTCTGTGAAAAGTTTATGACACTTGGTCTATTAGTTTTCGAGATATTCGAATTTGAAATTTTGCAGTGTTAAAAAGTACCAAAAAAAATTCTCACTCTTTTGACGATTGCTCGGCCTGTGAGGCAGATAGAGGGTCCGAATTGGAAATTAATTGTAGGGAATATAGCGAAATATAACGCCATATAATAATTATTTTATTACTCATATGCTTTCCTGGTTAAAACCGCCGAAAACTCAAAAATGAAGCTGATCAAATACACTAAAAAATTTTTGTTGAAAAAGTCTTATCATCTCGGATTTCGATAAAACTCATAGTGTTTGTGCACAATATTGTTAGTAAAATTCTGTGAAAATTTTATGACACTTGGTCTATTAGTTTTCGAGATATTCGCATTTGAAATTTTGCAGTGTTAAAAAGTACCAAAAAAAATTCTCACTCTTTTGACGATTGCTCGGCGTGTGAGGCAGATAGAGGGTCCGAATTGGAAATTAATTGTAGGGAATATAGCGAAATATAACGGCATATAATAATTATTTTAATACTCATATGCTTTCCTGGTTAAAACCGCCGGAACCTCAAAAATGAAGCTGATCAAATACACTAAAAAATTTTTGATGAAAAAGTCTTATCATCTCGGATTTTGATAAAACTCATAGTGTTTATGCACAATATTGTTAGTAAAATTCTGTGAAAATTTTATGACACTTGGTCTATTAGTTTTCGAGATATTCGCATTTGAAATTTTGCAGTGTTAAAAAGTACCAAAAAAAATTCTCACTCTTTTGACGATTGCTCGGCGTGTGAGGCAGATAGAGGGCCCGAATTGGAAATTAATTGTAGGGAATATAGCGAAATATAACGCCATATAATAATTATTTTAATACCCATATGCTTTCCTGGTTAAAACCGCCGGAAACTCAAAAATGAAGCTGATCAAATACACTAAAAAATTTTTGATGAAAAAGTCTTATCATCTCGGATTTCGATAAAACTCATAGTGTTTATGCACAATATTGTTAGTAAAATTTTCATTTTCGATTTTTTTGCGATTACTATAACTTGCCCTACGGGAAGTTAACAATAATATGAGTGAAAAAAATATAATTTCTTTGCATATAAACGCTAATATAAGTCCTACAATTGACTGGATGATACTTAAAAATACAACAAACAAAAAAATAAATTTCATTGAGG